TAAATCACTAAACCACACCCCCAGCAACAGACCCAGACTCCTCTTGAGCACCTCTAGGGATGGGGACTCCACCACCTCCCAGGGAAACCTACTTCCTGACCACCCTAACAGTGAAAAAGGATTTCCTATTAACTGGTCTGAATCTCCCCTGTCTCAGCCATTTCCTCTGGTCTTCTCACTGCAGGCACAGTAGAGACCAGCCCCCACCTCACTACACCCTCCTTTCAGGCAGTTGTGGAGGGTGATGAGGTCTGCCCTGGCAAGCCCTGATCTCTCAGCCATTCCTCATAAGACACATTTTTTAGTGCTTTCACGAGCCTTGCTGCCCTTCTGTCCTTTTTAAAGGGAGGGGCCCAGAATGAACACAGGACTATGTGTGGCCTCACCAGAGGCAGTGCAGAGGGATGATCACTGCTGTGGTCAAAATTGACCAAAAGTAGCTTCAAATGTTACTACTGTTTAGAGTCAGGGAGAAAGGCAATGTGATCCCACATAATTTTCTCAGAAATCCACATGAAAAAGTCAACAGTTAATATATGAACACTAGGAATTCCTTTGTTCCAGTATTGTTAGACATAAAATGGCATACTACAATTTACTGCATACTATTAGTACACCACTGATATTTTTGAATCTACATTAAGGCAAAGAGTCCCCAAAGGAACATCCAAATCTAATGCTAAAAGATACAGCATAATGGAGAACACAGGATTTTAAATTGCTAGTTCAATTTGATTTTATTGACACTGTTACTCTCCCATAGACTTAAAGACATAAAAGAATGTTTAATGCTGCCTTCTGTTAAGAGTATCATCCAGAGTTTGGGTTTTTTTTTTTTTTGGGGTCTGGAATAGAATATGAAAAACTATAGAAAAATTTTTAAAGTTTAAGTATGCCCAGAATATACACACATGTTTATTTATGAAGGAGAAAAGGATTATTATAAAAGTGGAGTTGGGGAGAAGACAAAATATATATTATTACTTACTTGAAAAATAATCTATAAAAACACCAGCTGTTTTCCCACATTTCAAAATTTCTTTCTGACATAAGACAATTAGCTCAATTTTCTACATTTTTTACACAATCAGAAATTCTGAATATTCTAAACATAAATCTTGAAACATTTAATTTTAATCATCTGAAATATTGAAACAATTATTTTTTTAATTCTCAAACTCAGTCAAATATTTTGATATTCCTAAGTCAAAATGCTACATTTCAGTAGCATACTCTACATTTAGAAGACATTTTGGATGAATTAAAGCTGTTATTTTTGCCTGCTTGAGCTCCCTCATTACAACACAAAAGGATTGCAAATAAGCTTTCAGAGCAACTATGAAACCTTTGCACAAAAAAAAAAGAGATCTTAATAAAATGGAGACAAGCATCACTACTAGACTAAATGCCAGCAGCAGTAAATCTGCATAATATTTCATATATATATATATGCATAATATTTCATATATATATATGTGTGTGTGTTTGTGTGTATGTGCACTATATAATTATATACTATTTTTTAATATAGTTTAACTATTCAAAAAAATCAATCAAGAATAATTCAAAAAAAGCCAGTTAAATGCATGATTTTGGCAGTTTCATTTGGAACCATTGATACAGCCCTTTCTGGGAAAACACAGAGACCATGTGGTCAAATATAAAATTCTTCAACACATAAAATACTACAAAAGAGGCATTTAGCATTTCCAAGAAATTTGACAAAGCAACATCCATTGTGCGCTGAGTACATCAGAGTAAATGATAGCTCTCCTAAAAAAAAGTTATGCTTTCTTGTTTCAGCTTACATGTTGTTTGAAAGAACAGTCAGAAGATGGTGCCTAGTCTCTATCTGTGCCAAAATTTAATATAAACTCCTTCCATAAAATTACAGAGAATTCCACTAAGTTTATTAACCAGCCTGGTGAAAGATTTTCCCCCACTGCCTCCATTAGGACTGTCTCAGACAGTGTAGCTCTCACTACCTTAAGAACTACCTCCCTTGCTTAAACTTCCTTTTCTTTCTATTTTACACTCTGACACAGGTATAACCCATTTTTCTAGCCTGTTTCCTACACAAAAAGGGTATGCCCTTCTTAAAATCTTTTCATATACAAGCTCACCACTCTTTTTTATATTTTTAATACTCCTTTCTTCAGTTAAGTTGATCTTTCTTGCATACAGGTATTTAGATCAGAGCAGCTGAGGTGTCATTAGAGTCTAATGATATTTGTCCTAAGTGGCAAACTATATGTTGTATTTTACCATAGCCAGGTCATGCACTAAAGCCATATTAGTCGATATTAATTTTATTCATTTTTCCACATCACTTTATTTGCCTCTGGGGCACTGAAGTACATTGTGACACATGTTATTAACTGGTATAGCATGAACTATTGCTTTCCTTCAGAGTAATTGTGCTTGGTCAAACCATAAGGTTTACATTCAGAAAGAAGCTACTGCTGAAATCCACCTACTGGGCTATGGTAGACATGTTTTGTTACACATCTCACCAAGGTACTGCACCAAGGTACTGCAGAAAACATGTCTCACTTTCTCCTTGGTGGGACCTGTAAGAATTCCACTGAATCTTGGAAATTTCTTCTACCAAATTACAAGTACACTTATTGCACAGAGCTTTGAAAATTTCTTCTACAGAACTGTAAGTACTCTCATCTGTACAACGGCTACAACCATCTGACATTTCTCCTGTGACCCCACCACATTTTATACTTGCTGTAGCTTATCTCTTCAAACACATACCTAGACAACTACTGATGGTGTTTTGTTAGATGAATTCCAGGCATCTAAACTCAAAACTGCTAAAATAAAAAACAGTGAGGAAAACTGCCACATGCCTCACAAATTCAAAACCATAATTTCCTTAGTTTTTTACTGAGCTGTCCTGGTTTTGGCCAGGACAGAGCTAACTTTTTGCAGTAACCATGAGGTGGCAAAACCTGGAGCTGTGTGGGAGTGTCTGGGTTATTACATATTCACATCATTGCCAGGGTGCAGAATTCTTTGGCTTCCAGGAAGATGTTCATGACAAAACAAGGCACTGAATAAAAAAATAGCTTATTTTGATGAATGGTAACATAAGAGAAGAATGTATGTTGCTTTCAACTTATCATCAAAGCATTTAAGTCTGTCCAAAGAGGGGTCCCATATAAATCATGTCCTAATACATGACAGAATTTAAAATAAAGAAATAATATCCAATTAGGAAAGTTATCAATATGCTTGAAATCACAACAGCAATTACAAATCAGCACTTAAAAATGCACGTATGGAAACTGTAAGTTTGGTAAGTCTGTTTAACAAAATCCAGCTGAAGAGTGGACCAGTTGACACAAGCCACCATTCTACATAGGATGGCAACAATATTATCTAGCTGTGGGATACAGAGGGAAATGAAAACACATGATTTTTTAGGTAAGAACATAATTTTTATCTTTTTTTCACCTCTCCTTGTGCTGCTAAGCAAGAGAAAATTTTAGCTTCTGTATGGAAGATTTTCCATAAACTCAGCACTAAATTAGTTATACTACATATAACTAACTGCATAGCCAAGATGGATAAGACCATTATCTAACAATATAGTAACAATATAGCTAACAGCTCTTTGAAACATGGGAACCACATATGGTATGATATAATGGGCATCACAATGCGTTCGGGATCTTGGAGTTTTTCCTGAAGTATCACTATTTTAAAGTATTCTGACAAAAAAACCCTAGATTTTATTTAAAAGACTCTCTTTATTTCAGTTAAGTAAAATAATTTTCTGTAGCTATTTTGAGTGAATGTCAGAGAAATGCCCAACAGAAGTAAATGTTTATTACTTCTTATTTAATTATAGACCAATCCGTTGCTCCACCTGATTTTCCTATCAATTCCAAACAGATGAACATCTTTATAATGTTTATGACTGTGAAGAATTAAGAACACTAATCAGACTAACTGCTAATTATTTTCACTTTAAAAGGGGGATGCATGGAAACTATTTGGTGTAGCTTTGCTAAGCTTTTGCAATTCTGTAAGGTTGACCTGATGGTGATACCTAAATTCCAGTGATTTTTGACTAAACTAATTAAGGTGTAGGAAGAGATATCCAGCCAAATTCTTTTTTTCCCTCTTCAATAACAGCAGCTTCAAACTGGTAACTGTTCCCAGAGACTAAATGCCATTATATGTACCCAAGACTTGTAAAGTCACATATCTAAGTCCTAATATTGAGACCAGCAGGACAACATGGTGAAGATGCAGTTCTGAATTTCAGTGTCTGAGGACTTCCGCTTCCTGTGTTGACCATTTGCTCCTACTCTCACACAGTAAAAATCATCTGACGCCACACAGGGGGTAGCAGTAGCAAGTAACCTATAAATACAACCTGCAGAACCAACTAACACCTAGGAAAGATGACTAATTACTGTACACAAAAATACCAAAAACACAGGCCTGAGAATTTTGATTACAGAAATGCAAAGATGCTTATAAGGAAGACCAACCTGATGAACGCCCTGAAGCTTGACAAATCACATCTGTTTTCTGTATTACAGATTTGAAGTCCATGCACCCTGTGATGGGTGAAACAGAATGACTGCTTTTACCTAATAAAAATAATAAAATTTCTTCTTGCATATCCCAAAAATCATACACAAAGAGAAAACTAAAAATCCCAAATTTCAGTGCACTGTCAGAGCCTAGAGCTGCTCTGTGCTGACTCTGAGTCATGCCTATATATTCTTTTCTAGTTTAAGTGTCCACAACTACACAGATCAGAATATATCATAATATAATAATAGTATAAATACACAAAGGGAAAATTAATTTAATAATGCCACTTGAGGAACCTCTACAGACAGATTAGAACCCAAGTACAAATACTCAGAGATACATAACTTCACATTAGAACTTACATGCTAATTAAAAAAAAAAAAAAAAAAAATCAGTTAACTTTACTTAAAAGCAAATTTAGTCAGAGATTATATACATACCCTCTGCTTCTCAGGGTCAACATATCGAATGCCAAAATAGTCTTTTTCCAGTAAGCTGTAATAGTTGCAGATGTGATCTATAAGAAACTGACCTTTGGTTTCCCTCTGTAAAAAGATAAAGAAATTATACATTATGTTGAGTATTCTGAATTTGCTGTCTAAAAATCTATGCAAAGTGTCAAGGAAAATGGCACTTTTGAATGAAATTTGTTGTTATTCAGATGAGGACAAGGATTTAACTGCTTATCTTCTCTAAAACATTCAAGAGATTAAGGATCAATACACTCCCTGCACATAAACACATTGGTTAAGAAAATATCATTATTACTGCTACTTCAGGAAAACTCATGCTGCTCTAATGGCTACAAATTTATATGACTTAATATACTACTAGCAATCACATTTCCACAGATACTATAATGGCATAGCAGATACTCATTTACATATAGAATTTCAAAACACCATATTTTTTTTTATTCCCCGAATTTGAAAGCAGATCTGAATGTGAGTATTCTACTGGATCTTTACACAGTGCCCACAGCAAGAGACATCTGATCCTTAGTCCCCTCAATTAAGTCAGAGCTACAGCACAAAGAACAAATGCCCAAATAAATGGAAGAGAGGTTTTCATCTTTGTGTTGTCACTGGGTAACTATGGCCTTATCAAATCTTACTGTCACACATGATATTTAGCTAACAATCTCATTCTTTCTTTCTGTTTTCTTCAATCTCAAGACTGTGTGTCTATTCTCCTTTTTCTGATGTCTAATACGGAGATTCTATGTGAGTTTCCACATTTCTTGTGACCCAGCTAATGTGAAGGGCCATGTTGGGTTTTTTCTGAAATGTGATTTGTGTCATTTTTAGCACAGGGCTAAAGCTGTGTTCTTAAAACAGTTCACTCCAAGGAGACAAAGGTGCTTCATTGCACAGTGATTTCAGGTCTCTGCATTTTTTTTCCCCTCTGTGTGTCTACCCTGGTCTTGCACTGAGACACCTCTGCTGTGGACCAGGTAGTGAGTGTCTACCCTTTGCTGACATGAAACAATTTGTATTAAGCTCTTCAATATCTACTGAATAGAAACTACAAAGGACATGAAATTACTTTATATAAAAATAATACTTATTTGTTCTTCTCCAAACTACTCCCTGAAAACTTAAATGCTATGCCTTGTTCAAACTTTTTTTTTAAGAAGTTAAAAAGCATTTTAAGCCTTAAAGAGCATGGCAAGCAAAATTTAAGAGATAGCATCTATATTTCTCATGGTACTTTACAAGGCTAGGTATTGCTTGCATCTTCATTTTGCACAGAAGCAGCTGAGCCAAAACCAGCACCATGACCTGTCAGAGGTCACACTCTAAAGGGCAAAGGAAGTGATGGCCCAGGCACCACCACTGTCTGGTGAGACCTACTGCTTTCCCACCAGGAAAATGAGACATGCCTCAAGACTGGAGACTTAGAAAAGATTACAATCTGTGAACTAATTTTTTTTCTCTTATCTTTGCAATTGATAAGGGATTCTCATGTAGATACATTTGCTTGTCTTTTGGTTTCTATCACTCAACAAACAGATAACTAAATAAAAACAAGCTCAGTTAAGGCCCTGACAGGGAGATGCATTGCCCTTCCATATGCTGAGGCTTCTGTGGACATAACCAGCCTGTCATTGGGACCACCTCTCCTCCCAAATTCCCTTCCAGCCACAATGCAATTGCTAATTTCTCTACATATTTCTTTCTCCTTGATGTGGGTGCCTCTGTTTCAAATGCTACTGTGTAAGCCACCTGCTTCCCCTACTCCTCTCTGTCTCCACCTTTTATAAATTTAAGTCCTGTGCTCTTCCATACACTCCTACTTGCCTGGAGATACCTTTGCCTTGTCTGCACTTGGTGTTTCCATAATTTGTTTCCCTATTTTTAAGCAGCCATTGTCAAAGGATGCTAATACAATTTGTCTGTTCAGTTTGTGCTCATGCAACCTCGTGCTTTGCACCCTGCATTATCTTTTCCCGTGTAACCTAGATGCAACAGGTTTCCTTCTGTAATTGCTTCCTTCCAGCCTCAAGACATGTAAAAATCAACTTGTTTATTGTTGGGAGTGGTTAACACATTCACTGACATTTTTTTGTGCTCTGCCCAGTTACAGGTATGGGCTTTCTGGAGACAACAAAGAGAACACTTTCCTCAAAAGGAAAAGTCCTATCAAAGACTTAAAAATACAAAAGGAAAAGTGTCCACTCTCTCTCTCTGGCTAACAAAAAAAAGGTCTACACTTATGCAGTCATATTTCAATTAACTGCTTTCTAACTTAAAAACTTGTGTCTGCAAAGTTTTGTCACTATGAGAGACCATTGAAATATTGACAAAATTGCATGGTGACATTTCATTACAAAGGCAGTAGGAAAAGTTATAAAGATAGATGTGACATTTAAGTTGCATACAGTTTAAAACGAATCTGCAGCAAATTAAATAGGACTAGGAAATAACACGCTATTATAGAATAATAAGATGTTAGATGACTCAGGTACAATCAAACATGAAAATAGATTTCATCGGCAACAGAGTACAAACTAAATCCATTTATAAAACATGGGAAATGAGGAAACCAGACTATCCATATTTTCATGTGACAGTATTAGAGGGTGTTACTGGAAGAACAGTCAGTAATACAAACTCCTACAATAAACTACTAGGGTTTCACATTCTAATCTTTGAATTTTAAAAGCCCTTTGCTTCAGTCACCTAAATAATCACAAATATCTGAATTCCTAAAGAAACTGATGAAAGGGTGTAGCACACATAATGTTTATAAATCCAGCAACAACGTTCTGTTTCTAAAAGGAATTGATGCCCTAGTTTTCTTCCTTGGAAAATAGATGACGGAAACAAACCATACAAAAAAGAGCAAAAAGCCTCCAAGCTAGATTCATGCTCTAGCAATCTTTAAGCCATCGATAAATAGAAGGGACTAGTTGATAACTTCACCCTTGGTTAGTATACTCTCTTCAGTTCATTTAATTTTAAAAAATATTCAAGTTGCACAGAAGTGGGCTAATTTAGCAGGTGCATGATGTAGTGAGAGCCCTCATATGAAATTGTAAATGTTACACTATTAAAGCCTTCTAGACACCTGAAATTTTTGAAAACAAACAGATCTTAATTGATACACAGAGGGAAATAATTGATGTGGCACACAGCACATCAAGTCCTAATTCGTAATAGATTGTATGAAAAGAGGAATGAGCAATGGCAGCTATTTTTATTTTCTGCAAACAACATACATAAGCACTTTGTTATTTCTCTAACAATGCTTCAAATTCTTCTGAGCTTTAGAATATAATGATTTTTTTTATTTATTACACATTGCTACATATTACCATGCTACAAAAGAATTCTATTATATATTAAAACCAAATTTCATTCTGATTTGTGAGAGAATCTGGATAACATAAATTAAGAACAGCTAGTCATTCACAACAGAGCAGAGGAATGGATTTGGGTAAGAGAATAATGACCATAAAACATTGCCTGAAATTTCAGACAGTTGCCATACAGCTTTCCAATTAAGTGATCCTTAAAAAAAAGAAAACAAACAAAAAACCCCCAAACAAACAAAAACAATCCTTAAATGCTTCTATATGAAAAAAGTACTTTGCAGCAATTCTGAAAAATAATTTTATATTACATTTTAGAATGTTTATCAGAACATGAAAAAATTATATTATAAAGAAAGCCAGTATTTCAAACACCACTGTAGAATTTCAGCCACAAACAACACTAATCTGAAAGTAAAAATCAAGTCATACATTCAAAATTTTCACAGCTCAAATACTGAGAATTATACAACAGTTCGCTCAGAAGTCATCGATTATTGTCCATTAAAGAAGATATATGCAGGCAGAAAAAGAGTCAGAAAAGTCTGTGAGAGATATGAAATGTCCTGAGTTATAATCAATACATTGTTTTCAGTGAAAGAATACCATTAAATTAGCCACTTTTTCCTAAATCTATTAATTCAAATACATTTGTCTATCACAAATGAGAAATATTTTCCTTCAGATTTTTTAACCCATGCAATGGCTTTAAGCAAAGTACTATAATGTAGATATTCCACACACTCAAAACAAAAGTTTGGAGATTTCTATAAATAGTTTGAGGAATGACTTCCTGATTTATTTAGATAAATAGGCACAGACAAGATGAGTATGTTTTTCCTAAGGCTGTATTTGTATATCTGACCTTAATACCACTGAAATCCCACAACAAACCCCAACACATATGCAATGGATATAAAGCCATGTAAATGACAAAATCCCCAAACACACAAGGTCAGTTTGCAAATAACTGTTAAACACTGCTTTTTAAGCTGGATCAAAAAACTAAATATGTATCAAACTGAACTTGCAGCTGTGGCAAAAGAATTAAGCAAAACAGGGGATGTTCTCTACTCCAACAAGATACGAAAACATGATCACAGAGTCTTCCATTAATGGACTCACAGGGCAACCTGAGTTTGTTCCTTTTCTCTAGGAACCAAGTAATAAACTGGAGAAATGCTTCATTTTCCCTACCAGACACCCCTATTACAGTTTCCATTTCTGCAACTCTGCAAATTTATGACTGAATAACCTAATTACTTGGTAATTTCTCTGGTATACAGAAACTAATCCAAACAACAATCTTTGTTGTTCTTTAGCATTATCCCCACATTAACACATTATCCCCATCTCATGCTTGCTTTGGGGATTTTTTTTTTATCTCAACTATCTTGATGCAACCTAAAAAGCAAGGGAGAGTGTAACTTGTTCTACAGATTTAACAATTCTCCAATGATGTAAAATGACACCACAAAACCTTTGTGACTGTTCCACAAATCTGAAAAGTGAGAGGAAAATTCCTTATAGCAGTTTAAGAACTTACATCCAGTGAAATGTTTTCCCTATTTGCATTTGCTTCACTGTGGAGTTCTGTGTGTATTTATCTGAATGTCGTCACAAGGAAGAGCAAGAGTCACAAGCAGATTAAACACAATGTTTCTGTTCT